TTTTTACTGCATTTGTCAGATAGAAAAGTACAGTCTTGTACTAATAAAGGGTGTAAGCGAGCTATGATCCTTTGATAATATAGTGAACCTTTAATATTTATGAGAATAGCTCGTGGTATGGCTTTTATCACCTTATTATATTTATCCTGAGTACAGTTTAAATTATACTTGTTGTTGAATCTATTAGGTCTGATACAGGTGTCATGGTGTCAATTGGACATCACTAGTTTGACCATTGTTTAAAGATTTCGATGAAAGGTGCTCGGTTTCAACGTGCTTTAAGGCACCATCTTGGATCCCTCCCACCTGATGGACAAACGTAATCTCCATCTTCAAAGACCGACGTGGGAACCACTGCCGCGCATGCGCACAAGCAACCGTTCTAGAGACGTCCCTGACATCTCCATAGGTGACATCAGTTTCTACAATGGCTTTGATCCAAAGCTTCTGATTGGATAACCTTTCACCTAGAACTGTCAAATCGAGTTTGATGAAAGCCGGTATCTATACTGTGTGACAAAGTCAATAGCATTCAGACCGCCATCTTCCAGTGATTTAATAATATCATTCTTCCTTATATAATGATGCTTGTTCTTCCAAATGAAGTTAAAGTTGTTTTGATTAATGATTTTGATTATATTATCAGGTATATGTAGGGAATATGCTGGATAAATTATTCTAGAGAGATTTTCCATTTTTGCTAGGAGGACCATTCCAAATATGGATAAGTCCCTTTGTAACCGTATATTTAGAATAGATTTACTTTTTTTTTTTTACTTCACTCCAAAACCGACACTCCCATCTCTCTCTTCCCATGTCCCCTTTCTACCCAAGTATGGCAAGCCCCAAAGGACAAAAGGACATAAGGTATACTACACACATAAACAGAGCACCAGCACATTCACACCAGGGAGACATAACACTAAACAGTCTGTTACACAATGTAGCAGGAGAAAAGCAAGAACTCCCTAGGTCAGATATTTATTTTAATAACCGATTCCTCTCCATGATTAACTTCCTACAGATGATCAATCATGTACAACTGTCTCAGGACTGCCACACTCACATGATCCATCTGGCTGTTTCCCTACTTCCTGCAGACATCTGTTTAACCCACAGTGGCCCAGCCTCAGTCTAGTGAACTCAAATGAATCCCTGTGATTTCCATAAGAATGAGAGGTGTTCCTAGGAGTGGGCTGAAAACTAAAATAATGTCTCACTCTGACTTCTTTTTCCCATTGACTTTGCCACTCCCTCTCAATAACTTTGTGTATTATTACTTCTGTGTTCAACCTTCCCATAAGCACACTTAATGTGTTTCTTCATTCCATAAAGCTGACTTTGTGATTTCATTGCCCCTGAGCACAGAATCAGAATCAGAATCAGCTTTACTGGCCACGTGTGTCGGACACATGAGGAATTTGACTCTGGTACATCGGCTCTCAGTGTGTATGTACATATCCCCATGCATATCCCCAGCCTAATCAGACTTTACACCCCGACCTTCTAAACAAAGTAATTAAAATCTCAGTAATACTATCTGGTCGAGATAGAGGCCTCCTTCCAATTAAAGACGGCAAAGGAAGCCAGCCATTAAAAAAAAGAAGGGCACCATAAGTCCAAGGAGGCATAGATGTGGCACAGATGGGATTTACAGGAGGTTGTAATGGCAGAAACACATTTCATTGAGAATAATCCAAATAAACTAAACTAACATCTGATTGACATAAACACAGTGAAGCCATTGGGCAGTTATTAATAAGCACAGTGTGTGAGCGCTGTAATGCAAAAAATAGTGGAGGGAACATGTGTTCTTGTGGCTGGATGGGAACAAATCCCCGCATCGGGAAGACAGAAGGAGCTGAGGCACATTAATGCCCCTGGTCTGACCACATGTTGCTCTAATGTTCAGATGGCCACATCCTTTTGCCCGTAAATCTGTAGTGAATCCATTTTACGTATCATGTCCTCACATTGATTGATTTTATTGATTAGTCATCCCTTGAGTAATTACTGGCTCATGCTGTTTGTCAATCTTTACCTTGAACAAACCCAGTGGATCAAATTCCAGTAACTCCTGTAACACCTGAACTGTTTGTGTTGCTCAGTGGGTGTGTGTACTTTATCACACACAGTACAACAAACAGCCTCCATATCGATCAGCGGAGGTTACTCAACTCTGATCTGACTGGACCCTGATGAGTCACAGTTTGTCAGACCGAGCCAGGAGGCTTCAAATGGTCCGACGGCAGCGTTGGAGAAGCATTCGCCTACAACAGTTCACACAGAGGAAGGACGACGGAATCAGAGATGGAGCGGCTCAGTGTACTCACCTGTCTCGGTTTGATTTGTGTGGCTTCCACACTGGTGAGTCTCACAAGTACACTTTTAATCCATAAAATTTACAGGCTGATGAGAAATCAGACGCATCTGTTTGAAACAGTGGAAAGGTTTGCAAACTTGTTAACTTTTTAAAAGCTGGAATATTTTGTAATTTTTATGTTTAAGGATTTATTATTACCTACTTTGTGTCATCTAACCTTCATTTTTTGTTGTTTAGCTGTTTTGTCAACAGCAACAACAATATAAGTTGTAACAGTATGTGAATCAGCATTACAAAGTAATATTACACACCAATATATGAACAATATCATTTTAATCAAATACTTTTTCTTCTTATTACTAGTTGATATTTAGAGCTTTATGATTTACAACATGGTCAATTTCAAAATAACATCATTTCAAACTGTAAATTATTCATAAAACATGTTTAAGTGATAAATCCATATCAACGCACGTTTGGTTTAATATATTTTGTTCAATTTAAGCTAAACTGGGTGATATAAATGGACCCTTTCTCTCCCGGTGCCTCAGACCTGCACTGCTCCCGGGGCTTCGTCGTTGGCCTGACTTTGTTCCCTCTCTGTCCGTCTCTCTCTAGGCGACAGAGCTCGACCCCCGAGGCACTCGCCCAGTGGAGCACGGCACCAGATCGGAGAAATGTGCCACTGAGAAGGAGTGGCCTTTCTGCACAAGCGATGAATGGGTACACGGCTGGTTTCCTTCACTCTGTCTTGTGTCTTCTAAAACATGATTCATTCTTCTAACCTCAGGACTTCATGCCCAGTCCAATGAGCTGCTGAACACATTCTTATTATTTTATGTTCATCCACCTCTCCCCTCTTCCCTCAGGGCTCTAAATGCCCGTCAGGCTGCAGGATCCTGGGTCTGATGAATAAATATGACTACGGCCTGCTGAAGAGGATTGAGAAGATCCGCAGCCTCCTGGATCAGAACAGGGCCAAACACCGCACGACCGACCAGGTGTCCAAACAGACCTATGACATCCTGAGGGACAAACTCACCACTGACTCTGGTTCGTTTGTGATTCTGTATCAGTCATGAGTTAAAGGACTTCCTGGACATTGGTTAAGCAACAACTTAAAGGTGCTCTGTGGAGATTTGGTATAAACAAGCAAACATTCTGTAGTGTTTCTCATGAAGAAATGTGTGTGTCCTTTAGTGTATCTCCTGCCTCATAAAACTCTTTTTCTACATGACACAACGCCCGTGAACACGTTGTTGTACAGTGGTCAGAAAATCCACAGGGCAACTTGTTGTGTGTCGATCAATCAGATCCAGATTCAAATCTCATCAAAGTCTAAATGAGTTCAAGGGCCAGTGTTCTACCCACTGATATAAAACTCAATCCGCCTGTTAATCCAAATGCGTCGTCTCTTTTTCCATAAGGTACTGACAACACCTATTACGACCTGGCCCAGAGTCTGCGTCAGAGGATCACAGACATGAAGATTAAGATCGACAGACAGCTGAGGTTCCTGGCCACCCTGAAGGATCAAGTCAAAGATCAGGTTGTGGAGATGCACAGACTGGAGGTATGGAAAGCCACCAGGGACAAAAACACTTGTTTACTTATACTCAGGTTACATTCATGTTTTCTGAATAACAAAAACTAAGTATGATGATACTATAAAGGAAGTCGTGCTAACAAAAAAGGGTTGTAAGTTTCCTGGTAAGCTACATAATACTTCAAACATGCTGTGACACGTTCATTTGAATTCTTTTTAAGATGGTTATTTTACCCCCAAATATCAAAATCATTAACACAGAACCTACATCATTCCTAAAAATGTACTGTGTATTAACTACAAGAAAAGCACACAGATATGATTCACTACTGTAGCCTGGCCTGGCGGCTTAAAGGCCGTCAGAGTTTACAGCGGCTGGAAACACACTCGCTTGTTAAACAGGAAGCATATTTCCAACTCTGTGTGTCTGTCAGGTGGATATCGACATTAAGCTCCGTTCCTGCAAAGGATCCTGCCAGCGCTACTCCGAGTACCGGGTGGACCAGGAGAGCTACGTGGCCCTGGACAAACAGGTTGGCACACACGTTAAACTGTGTTGACTGGTCAAAAACAAAACTTCCCACAACTTGTGTAAAGCTTTATTCACACAATTTCCAATGTGAGGCAATGAAAACACTACACTGCCTCCACGAGACAGTTCTGTTATTTTTGTTTTGTTGCATAAGGAAAGTATCTCAGTCACAGACTCTTTAAGTGGACTGGTTGAGCCTGGTCTTTACATTCACTACCAATAGATCCTCTTAATGAAAATCATTTAAACTGATCATATTAAGAGTCAAGTGAAACATGTATGAAGTGTGAGGTGGCTTTAAAGTGTAAAATACTGAATCTGATCCCTCAAAGTTCAAAGTCTGATCAATGACTAAAAGTTTAGATGACTTAATATAATATTATTTAATAAACCTGCTCTTGAATTTAACAAATTAAGGGAGATTTGTGGCATTACATTGATTTCTTATTTGCTTAAAAGAAGATTAAAATCTTTTCCTACAGATTTAAGACAATGTTTGTAAATGATTTGTTGAAAAGGATACCTGTGTTTATCCTCCCCAGACCTTGTCACCTATAAGACAGATGTATTATTAATGCACTGGATGTTTCCTGCCTAGATTAAGTTCAGTTTGTGCTTTATAATTTTCACCAAAGCGCAACAGCCACGTCTGCTAAAATGGGTTTTTCTATCCAATCATATTTAATCCTGTGAATCCTTTTGCACAGACTTGATGAAAATAACTGGAGAGATATGGTAGTAGCAGAATCTCTGCTTGTGACAGATTTGATCCACTTATGTTCAGTATTATGAATGATGGCCAGTTGTGAATTTGTGTATATAAATTGTGTTTAGAGGGTTAAAACAAAAAACAACCTTACAAATCTGCATAGGATTAGGTGGACTAGGTGGACAGCTGTCGTTCTGAACAGCTGCACTAGTCCGTATTTTTAATTCTTACCCATTCTGCTCCATTTAAAATCCAGTGTTACGTTTATTTATTAAAAGTCACTTTCTCTTTCTATCCGCTTCCCAGATTAACCAGCTGGACTCCCAGTCGGGTCAGAACGTCGAGTCTGTGGGGACACTGTATGTGATGAAGAGCAGGCCGCTGAAGGACGTGATAGTGGACCCCAACTTCAAATCCACCAGAACAGCAGGACAGCAGAAAGACGACCTGTTCACTGATGTGAGTGACACGTTAACATGTTCTGACGTTTGTTCTACTGAAGAAGTAAATCTTTAAAAACACTTCACTAATCTTATCTTCCATTCTGAAAAGGTTGTGTAGCTTCTGTAGGTTTTATCAAACCGACAGGAGGAAACAGTGCGTTTGTTGGCGGACTCTGTTCAGCGGCAGGTGAATCCACATTTGGTCTCTAATGAATATTTGTGGCAGCAGGACGGTGTGTGTGACTAAGTCACATTAAAATCCATCGTGTGTGTGTTCATGGTGATGAAGGAACATGTCACCCAGTGCAACAGTGCGGTCACTGGTGGGTTTAATGGTTTCTGTGGCACAGACGAAGGCGAGGCGTCAGGCTGACGTCCACATAGGGGGCCGTTAGGTTTGTTTTGGGCTTATCAGTACCTCACAGTACTGGATGTTCTGGGGCAGCTACAGTAAATCCAGAAAACGTATATCTCTCACAGACAAAGGAATGACTAGGAGTCACACTCATAACCTGTGCACAGTATCATGGCACTAGAAATAACAAGGATATCGTCACCTCTTATTGCTATAATTAGCACAAAAACACACATTACGCTGCCTTTTCTAGAGCCACACACGTTTACGCTGCCTCTTTATTGTATTTCTGTCTTAGGTGAAGACTGTCCACTTGCTTCTAGAGGAGGAAGGGTCCAGCTCATCCCCAGCAACCATCTCCAAGGTCCCAGGTACTTCCTACTCTGCCTCTACATCCTCATCATCGTCCTCCACCTCCTCCACAGGATCTAAATCCATCACTGAGCTCGGAGGACACAGTCGTGACGATTTCTTTACTGGAATGACTGAAAGTCTCGGCCAGCCCAGTACAAGCCACGTGTCCACCAAAACAGTCTCCTGCACCAAGACCACCAGAAAGACCGTGCTCCACACAAAGGAGGGGCCGGTGGAAAAAGTGGAGGAGGTGATTGGTGGAGGCCCCGAGTGCCAGGGCATGGCAGATCTCAACAGAGGGGATATTAGCGCCTTGTTCCCCACCCTCAGCCACACATCCTCCTCCTCCTCCTTTTCCTCCTCCTCTTCATCAGTGAGCACCAAGACCGTCCATGACAGCGGTGCCAAGGGAAGCCTCACAGGAGATTCCAAAACTGGGTTTACAGACACATTCGGCTCTGAAGTAGGAATCGACCTCGGCGCGTTCTTGACAGACACTGCAGATGATGACGTTCCTGATTTCCACGCCCGGAGTGTGAAGAGCACGCGTGTGGAGCGGCAGGCCGATTATATAGGAAAAGGTACCAAAACATCAGACCTGGAGTAAAACCTGCAAGGCCTAGAGGAGCGCATTCAGCTAGACAGCATGTTTTAGCTGCAGCTACAGTATCTTGCTAGCTGGCCCTATGCACCAAAACTATGAAGTGAACTTAAGGATTTGTTATTGTTTGTTGCTAGAGCTGAAAGATTCGGTGTGACATTATTGAGGTATTTTGGCATTTTGTAATCCTAAATATTTTAATAAACTGTACGGTTTTCAGAGGATAAGTTCACATCATATGTATTACTTTAACCAGTGATTAAATAAAAATATTTTCTCTTCAGCCTTGTAATTGCACAAAGTAAACTATTCTTCATGTTGTCAACCCTCCAGATTCCCAGATATATCACAGAGGACATGACTTCAGTGTCCTAAATACAGCTACAGCTCTGTTTGGAACAGAAAAAGCAGTTATGCCATAAAGCCCTGCTGAAGTTCAAAATGCAGATTGGCAAAATGGGTCGAGTGGGGCAAGATTTAGCCAGTTTGTAGGAAGAGCAGCCGGTTTATCATTACAGGACATTTCAGCTAGCCGAACCAAAGAACTAGCCAGTCCAAGCTAACTCGCCGTCTGCGGTGTGCCCCTTTCTTTTCACAGATTGTGTCGAAGCCTACCAGAACCACCTGAAAGGGGAAACAAATGGCCTGTTTAAGATCAAACCTGGCGGCACGGATTCCACAGAGGTAGTCGAGGTTTACTGCCAGCAGGAGGGGCTAATGGGTGGGTGGATGTTAGTCCAGCAGAGAGAGAGTGGCGCGCTCAGCTTCAACCGCACCTGGGCCGAATACCGCAAAGGGTTCGGCTCCGTCGATGCGCAGGGTAAGGGGGAGCTTTGGCTAGGCAACCGGAACATCCACCTGCTGACGAATCAGGGTGAGACCATGCTGAAGGTGGAGCTGGAGGACTGGGAGGGGGGCGTAGCCAGTGCTGAATATACAATCAAGGTTGGCTCGGAGGAGGAGGGCTACCCGTTACATGTGTCCGGGTACACCGGGGACGCTGGGGACGCTCTGGCGAGGCCCAATTCCAATATGGTGTCTTATCTGTCCCACAACGGGATGAAATTCAGCACCTTTGACAAAGACAATGATAAGTGGGAGGAGAACTGTGCGGAGATGTACGGGGGTGGGTGGTGGTACAACAACTGCCAGGCAGTGAACTTAAATGGGATCTATTACAAAGGCACGTACGACCCGGACAGAAACACGCCCTATGAGATTGAAAATGGAATTGTGTGGGTGACTTATAAACCAGCCAATTACAGCCTGAAAACTGTTCGAATGTTTATTCGACCGGCTGCTTTTTAATGGGACACGAAGTGGGGGAAAGTGGGGGAGTTTGTCAAATACACCCTTTTATAAACATTTAGAACTGATGGCAGAAGGCAGAAAATAACAGGAAGGAACGAGTAGAAGTAAGACACAAGAAATAATGATCAAACTGAGGATCAGTAAACATCTGAGGACAAAAACCAAAGGTGGTTTCAGAGCTTGTGGACTATTGAGCTGTTCTGGGATTTCAAAATCATGTCAAACAATGTCAGTGTGTTTTGTGTATTTTAGTTGATGCTTAGAGTTTTGTCAACCCGTTATGTAAACGACATTGACCTGTTTGTTGGGATTGCCAAACCAGGAAAATGCTGCTGTTAAACTCTGTACTAAGGACTCTAGTCAATCAATAAAGATTCAGTGTTCACTTCAGCTGCTGTGGTTTGTGGCATTATTTCAGTCACGATTACAAATCTCAGAAAACTTAAGATAATATAAACATTTTCATGTTGTAAATTTTGGTACAAAAAGACACATTTTCTAGAACACCAACAAAAATTGATCTGTCTTCTTACACAGTAATAAGCCATAAAAAAGTGAACCATCTTAGGACCCGTTACGACAAATTTGTGTTTGTACAATACTCTCGAGCTTTCATGTTTTTACATATAACATCTCATAAATATGTTGCTTTTTGACACCGACTGGCAGATAAAGACACGTTAGCATAGTGACTGGAATGTAAGATCAACATCTGATGATCTTATAAGGACTTGCCTACAAACGTGTCTCTAACTGTAGCATCGATTACATTTAATGTGTCATTTCTAACACACTGTTTTGGAAGATAACATTTCTGTGAGTTCAGTACATGTCACCTGTAAAACATACATGCACCTGGTTTGCCTTTCCCCGGAACACTACGAGTCAAACACGTTTTACTTCCAACACTAAGGAGGAATCAAATTTTGTACACAATTACAACTAGAATGTTAATATCTGCATTCATCCTGTTCACTGATCCACTAAATATTGGTTTTATTCTGACAAACGTGCCACACTAACTTTGTTCCTGTGAGGACAGTACCTTTAAATAAAGAAAACTCCAAAGAAGGAAAGCTGCATTACTGCTGGTGAAAGTGTCATAGTAACTATTATCAATATTTTAAACCTTTGTGTGTTTAAATTCTTGTAAAAATTGATCATAAAAAAATTCAATGACATTTTCATCTTTCTAAATGAATGGCAAAATAAACACATAATCAATGCTGACAAATCACGTGTGAGCATTTTGTTTGTTTGTGCCTACAGTCTGCATGAGGCTGAAGCAGCAGAGCCAAGATGGCCGCCGGGCCCCCAGTCATGGCCAGATGTACCGGGGGCCACCGTGTGGAGCCGAGTCTGACATTATGCTGTGCTCGGATGATGACTGGGTGAGCAGCGCGCACACACAGAGCTGTATGTCATAGTCCATGTAAACCTATCAAATCTTCATGTAAGTCTCAAACATGTTATTTGATAATGTGAATATATCAGAATCAGAATCAGCTTTATTGGCCAGGTGTGTCGGACACACAAGGAATTTGTCTCTGGTACATCGGCTCTCAGTGTGCATGTACATATCCCCA